ATTTAAAATATATGCTCTCCACTTCAAATTAGTAGTGTCTCGCCCCTGTACATAATACATTTCCTGTTAGCAATTGAGTCCTTACAAGGAAAAATTTTTGAAGTGAAATAACGGAACTTCCGGTTTGCGTCGGAAGTTCATGTAATGTTAATCCGGTCCTCCTGCCTCTAAACTTTTCATATTTGGTCTCGGGTTTTATCTATGTCACACCGTTCTTGAGATTAAGGAAAGACGGGTAGACGGACAATATAGGTCTACAATTTTTACTTTCCCGGCTGTTATCGTATATAACGGAAAGTATTGCGATCGGTCAAAAAATTACCCTCCCCAAGATTTCTATATTTTTGGACTTAGGACACCTTAAAACGTCGAGAAATGCAAAACAGAAAGGGGGTAATTTCTGTATGTATGGATGTTTGTGTGCGTGTTTCTGGGCACGATTTTGTTCATTCTCTTTAAAACTTAATAACTCCTGTGCTTTTTGTCGAAAATGTCTGAGATTTTGCACGGAGGTTTGTGTATTAGGAGAATTGATACTATTAAAGTTTGGTGATTAAAGGTCCAGAGGTAGAGAGATAATGGGAGTTGTCTGCATCCAGTAGGGTCGGACTTAATGATGATTTTACTCGTTATTAGCATTTACAATTATTTTTATAAAATTCATCCCTACGTCAAAATTAAACTTTTAATTTAAAAATATAAGTTTTTTAAAATAAAATATGATAACAGATGGTGCCACCAAAATTTGAAATGTTGCCGGGAAAGTTGAGCAATTCGTCGGAGAAAAAGCATATTAAGGCTGAAATCTCCAAATGAACCAGGGAGGAGACGATAAGCATAAAGGAGCAATTCGTCGCTGTTTTTTTTTTTTGTTTTGTTTTTCGTCTTGCAGCCCATAAACGTGATTGATTGTATGAGGTTACTTCTTGTGCTTCTTGAGGTTGCAATGAAAAAGATGCAAAAACCAATTAATTTAATTTCAAAAAAAATTTCTTTTCCTGGAAGATGGCTAGTAGAATATAAATATTTTGATAAATGAATCAGTGAAGAAAAATGAACAATTAATTTAATTATCTAAAATGGTAAATTAAAAACTAGCAGCGAGTTGTTTAACTTTTCCTGCAACATTTGGTGGCACCCATCTGTTGTCATATTTTATTTAAAAACTTTTTGCCGTTTTATAATAATTGAAAATATAAAAAACTTAATTTTGAGGGTAGGGATGGGTTTTTAAAAAAATTGTAAATGCTAATAACGAGTAAAATCATCATTAAGTCCGACCGCAATTGAGATATGACATACGACCCCCTTTTATCTTTCCACCCCGTCGACCTTTTAACCATCAAAATTTAGTAGCATCAATCCCCTAATACACAACCTCCCAGAAAAATTTTCGACAAAATGCACAGGAGTTATTAGGCTTCAAAGAGGGTTTCTTAACTTTCCGCCCTATGGGCGCTAAGAGGGCCTCATTTAGCAAGCCCATTAAGGGTTCGGTCAGACCCACAATGGGGCGGCCGGGCGGTGGGGGACGACATATCCGGACAGACTATCCCTCCGAAAAATTCCTGGGGATTTTTCGACCCGTCCGGATGCGATCCTGGGTTCCTCAGAGCGGTAGGCTGTCACTTTGATCGCTGGGCCATCCGGACGTCGCTTCAGAGCGTGAACAGAATCATACCCCAAATACACTAAGATCCATGCATGCAGAAAACGATTTTTTTTTCGTTTTGCATTTCTTAACGTTTCAAGATCCCGAGTCCAAAAATGTAAAAATCTTGGGAGATCAATTTTTGACCGAGCGCCATACTTTCCCCCTGTTTATAGAGCCGAAAAAGCAAAATCGCAATTATAGACAATGTTTCCTACTTAGGAGTGCCTTTGTAGAGTTTCGTATCAACAAGTCTTCGTAGATAGACACACTATGGGAGTTTTTGATAGCATTACCAGCGCCGTCGAAAGTTGGTAAGGGAACCGGGCGTTGAGATGTCTCCTTTTATCTTTTCGTGAACAAATGAAATACGTAGAACATTTCTTTATTAATAAATAGCAGTCTTAAATGTTTTATTTTTTGTTTATAAACATAACATTAATTTATAGATATTAGAAACACTATGGGTCCCTTATTAAGTTTACTTTGAGCCCGGGGAAAAATTTCCAGCTCTTCCCTTTCGACTGCTCTGACCACCTGTTTTCTTCACGTAACATATTCTTGTGTTGATTTCCCACTCTATAAACAAAATAATTATCATATATTTTGCTCTTTTCTCCACGCGTTAATAATATTTAGTGCTTTTTTTTATCGTTTGAAAGGAAATTCTCCTGAAATGGTGTGCCCTTCATAAATTACAATCGAAAATTGCTCTCTCCTGTTAATTTCATTCGAAAATATTTTAATTATTAATTAATAAGGATAATCGTAGACAGTAAATGGATTTCAAGAATTTTCGTTAACCTTAGCAAGATAATTTTCAAATCATTCGACGTTCCGTGTTTGTTTGTTTGTTTGTTTGTTTGTTTGTTTGTTTAGTTAGTTACGGCAACGCAACACTTGGGCGATCTGCCTAGGGGGATGCCTTCCGGGAGAATTTTTTAAGGGAAACTGGCCCGTAGTTAGGCGTTTCAGACGTTGAGAAAACGCCACGTCCGAACTCCCAGTGTTCGGGAACGAAGATCGTTTGGCCACTGGTGGGTCCATTTGACGTTCCGCTTCTCCCTCATTCACCGTCTCTTCGCTATTCGCTTATAAATTTCAATGATATTCTCTCGTTTATATGAAATTTCTCTTGGTTTTGTTTCACGTTCTTTATATTATAGGTAAATCAAACTAATTAAGAAATTTTACCAAATTATTTAAAAGTATTCCAAAATTTATAAGAAATTTTACTCATTCTTATTTATTTCACCGCGTGGATATCATCCATAAATAACGTATAAAATATGTACAAAAGTGAAAAAAATATATATTTGTTAATAGTCTCAACTTCAAATTTGAAGAAAAAATTATCCCGAGTCATCATGAAAAAAGTGAAAAAAAATTTTGTTCTTAATCTTTAATATTAATTATAATTTACTATAAATGCATTATTCTAATTTTGAGAGATGATATAAACATAATTTACCGGATTTAGAGAGCTTTTTAGAATTAAAACCCTCTTTAAAAAAAAAAAAAAACAGTTTAATAATTCGCCTCCAGAGGGCATCGATACTGTGATGGCGGAAGTCGGTTGGTTTGGAAATGACATTTTATAAATGTCAGCTGTTCGATGCACTTGTTTATTTATTGACAATTATTTATTTATATCCGGCGAAAGGTAAGAATTCTGTTAAAAAATGAATAAAATAAGCATTTAAGTTTATTAGTTAATTTTATTTTAATTATATTAAGTAGTAATTAATTTTCTAAAGATTTAATTTGATTTTTCTTCGTGGATTTAGGTTATGAGGTTGACCTCTTTTTTAATTAAGTTAAAAAGGGTCAATCGCTCAGTTTGTTTTAAGAAATTTAAATGAATTTTGATAAAGATGTTTTCACATCAAAAAATTCTACAACTACTAATTAATATTTTGACAAAATCTTCAAGTATGCTAATTATTATCAATATATAAATTTGATAATGTGGGTCATTTGGAGTCTTACCAAACCTTTGCTGATGGTCTGATTTCTGTAAGCGAAATCATCAACAAAATTAATGGGTTTATGAATTTAATTAAAGCTTTCTCATTTTTAAATCGATTAAATGGTTGTGTGGCGAGAACTTGACTGTCGTAAGAGAACTACGTTCGAGTCAAAATCCTGACTTATGCAATTTAACAAAACGAGTTAGATGGCATTCTCGTTTTCTGTCGCACCTAACAGATTCTGAGTATATTTAGGTGATTGGCAACTAAGTAGGTGAGCCGACAACAAAATCTGTTTTGTATAATGTGTTGTGCTTGATCAAATACTCATCTAGATTTGTGATTCTCAAAGTTATTGATTCGTGGACACTTAAAACAAATTGCAGATGAATTGCAGACCGCCTGTGGCCCCATTCTTATCTCGTAAGTACGGTGGTACCTCAGGATACGAAATTAATCCGTTCCGAAACTGAGATCGTATCGTGAAAATGTTGTAAGGTGAACATCTTTTCCCATACGATTACATGTAAAACCAAATAATTCGTTCCAATGCGAAAAACATACTCAAATTAAAGCCAAGTAATACATTAAATAAAAATAACTGTAGTAAGGAAAACACTGAAAAATGCGTTTTGTAGTTGTAAATGTATAAATAACCATAATAGAATAATAATTGATTTAAAAAAAATGCAGTTTTATTTGCACTTTACCCTTTGAGGATAGACGACGGTGGAGGTGTAAACTGGTGGCGGGAGAAGGGAAATGATACTAAAACTTAACTTACATAACATAATGTAACAATAACTTTAAAATAACTTAGAAAAGATAAAAAAATTAGTGTTGTTTTATATATTTTTTAAATTTTTTATTCACTGCTTTTTGCTTTCTTTCCTTCACTTCCACCAGTGCTTTCACTGGATAGAAGTTGCTTGGTAAAATATCTATCCAAAGAGACATTTATCCAAAGAGACTTTCCAAAGAGACTATCCAAAGAGATTATCCAAAGAGACTATCCAAAGAGACTTTAGAAACAGTTTATAAATTGACTTTGCCTACTTTTTAAACTGTTTCTAAAATGACTTAGGCAAATGTCATTACTCCGAGCAGCAATACAGCCAGTGTGAACCTTTTCGGGATGTTTCTTTTCAATAAAATCAGTCACTTTCTGATAATACCTCGAGATTTCCTTTATCGAGCGAGATCCTTCCACGACGAAGCAAATGCGCAGACCGAGACCAATGAACAGGAGTGAATAAAAAATGGCACTGCGAACTAATGTAACGTCGTATGGTGAGTTTTTGTTCGTATCGTGGAGCAAAAATATGTTTGAATTTCGTGTCGTATCCTGAAAATTTCGTATGCTGGGGCATTCGTATCCTGAGGTACCACTGTATTACCTTAGAGAATGATAGATCATGCTTGAGATATATTTTCTATTGCAGGGTTCCTACTCATCTAGTAAGTTGAGAAAAATCTGGAATTTTCGTTAGTGTTTGGAAAAAGTCGGGGAATTAGCCTCTTTGGCTGCCTTGTTGATTTTTTTGCCGACGATATTCTTGACTTAAGTGTAGTCTTCTGCAGGCAGCAAGAAGTAATGTGGTGTAATATAACTTATGAAAAGTATATTTGTATATTTTGTAACTACTGGATAAATAGAATATGATAAAAAAACACACCTTTAAAAATCCAGCAAAGAAAATTTACTAAATAAAAACGTTTTTGATAGATTTAACCAATCTTCCTCAGTTACGATAAAGTAGAATGTGAAAATAGAACATAAATTTAAAAATAAACGATAACCAGAATTCTAAAATAAATACATAAATAAATAACTGAAATTGTAGTTGCAAATAATAAATAAATAACTACAGAAATAAAATAAACAATAAAAAATAAAAATAAACAAACAAATGTTCCTTAATTAATAAAATTAACTTTCGTAAAAAGACCGCCGTGCAGTAGCCAAGGTATCCGCGTCTCTATGGTTGATGTAACCGGTATTTTTGTGCGCTTTGAAAGTCTCCAATCTTTCCAGATATCTCATAGTATGTATATTCGATGTTGGTTTGATGATCGATGCCTGTTCCATTGCACCTGAATGTCCTGATATTGTGCGTAAGCTGCCAGCGTCATGTTATTGAGATTTTTATCAATTGTATATTTGTGTTCTTTGAGCTGTTGTTGTAAGTTGCACATAGTGGCACCCACGTAGACCAGTTTTGATTTAAAACGTTGGTCGATTAACGGGATGGAGTAAATTTTCATGGCCGAATTACGGTTATACGGTTTTTTATCATTCTTTAAAATTTCTGAATATCGTTGGGCTGCATCGATATACAACCTTGAGATTATTAGCTTTGGCTGCTTTCTTATATCCCTTTTTTTTAAGAGGCATACATAAGAAAGCAGCCAGAGCTAATAATCTCAAGGTTGTATATCGATGCAGCCCAACAATATTTAGAAATTTTAAAGAACGATAAAAAACCGTATAACTGTAATTCGGCCATGAAAATTTACTCCATCCCGTTAATCGACCAACGTTTTGAATCAAAACTGGTCTACGTGGGTGCCACTATGTGCAACTTACAACAACAGCTCAAAGAACACAAATATACAATTGATAAAAATCTCAATAACATGACGCTGGCAGCTTACGCACAATATCAGGACATTCAGGTGGTTTTAACTTATATCCCTTTTTTTTTAAGAGGCATACATAAGTTAAAACCACTCTTCATTTCTGGTCCACCAATGCATCCTGACATTTTGCTGCTTGAAAGGTTGTGATGAACTTCCTTATCATTTCTATTGGATAACCTGTTGTTCTGCAATCCTTAAGACGTAATTCAGCTGTTTTAGTGTCATGTATGCTGGTACAGTACAATGTGTATATGTCCTTCTTATCAAGGATCTAAAGGCTGCCAATTTGATGTGGAGCGAATCAACAGAGTTATGTGGAATTAAAATGGGTTGAAAACATAGTTTCCTGTATACTTTGGTCCAAACTTTGCCATATTTGCAAGAGATGGAAATGTCCAAAAAGTTTACCATTGTTTCACTCTCCTGGTCTAATTGTAGGAATAATCCACAGGGGGTTATTATTAATCACTTTTAATGTAGGTTTGGTTTTATCTGCCACAAGATGAAGATATTGTCAACATATGTAGCATAAAAGATAATAAGGTGTTGGAATTTGGGTAGAATGTTGTTTTCTAATTGTTTGAATCACTAGTTCACAAAGTATTGCTGATGTGGGACTGCTCATCGGTATGCCTCTTCCTTGTAAGTATACTTTGTTCTCAGATTCAAAGAATGATGTATAATATACAAGATGCACAAGTTCCAGTATACGATTGTGATGTTTTCGTGCATCATCGATGTTGGCAAACAGGAAATCTCTTATTGCACAAAAACAAGAAGGTATTTTTATAGAAGGATACATTGATTTNAAGATGCACAAGTTCCAGTATACGATTGTGATGTTTTCGTGCATCATCGATGTTGGCAAACAGGAAATCTCTTATTGCACAAAAACAAGAAGGTATTTTTATAGAAGGATACATTGATTTGAAGTCAAAGACCATCATGTATCATTGGCTACCAGAGAAGTTGTATTGAGACGTTCTATAACCTGCAGTGAGTTGTTAACTGAAAGTGGATGGTAAGTAGCCTTAGAATGTTAGAATTTGACCAGCTGTTTCTTGATCAAAAATGTCGGAGGATTACATTTCTTGATCACAGGATGTATGTTTTTTTTTTTTATTGTACTTATGAAAAGGGTGCAGAATATTTTTAGGACCTAAAATTATTCCCAAGCATATATGAAATTTCTCCAAAATTTTACAAATTACAAAACATGATAAATAATTTAATTTAAATGTTGTCATTTTTCATTTTAATAATTTTGATTGCATAACAAAATAATTTTTGATTTACTTTCTTGTTTATTAATATTTTATAAAGTTCAGGAAATTTATTAAGGGATAAATTTAACAAATATACACTTTTGTACATGTGTTACACACGATTTGTTAATGAATAATAAATAAATAATGGCCTTTTTTTCTTTAAAGCCATCTGAATTTATGGTTGTGGATTAATAACAGGATAAACTATTTTAATTCAATAAAACAATTTATTTTTAGTCTTAATAATTTGGCAATTATAAAAAAATATATAACTGTTGATTAGAAAAAAATAACTAACTAAAAAATTGGAAAAGTGATAGCATACATGCATAGTAAGATAAATGTTGTTTTATTTTGTCAATGTGCCATACTGTAAGGGACGTGAGAATTTGTACAGAGTTGGTCAGGAAAAGTCAAGGAATTTAAAAGAAAAATTTGAGTAGAAACCCTATTTATGGTAACCTAACAAGAGATGCATGAAAATGTTTTCTCTCTGGCTAAATAGCATAGAGTTGCATTTTGGAAATATGACCAGGTCATCTACAGACCACCTGGCACTAGCCTGCAGACCTCTGGTGGTCCATGGACCATATTTTGAGAACCACTGATCTACATGACCCACACTGTCAGGTCTGATCTATTCAGAATTGGCAAAAATTGCATTCAATTGTATGGCTTGTAATGTGTTAGGTATTTTGCATTAAACACTGATATTTTAAATTATATTACAGTAGGATGCTGTTTCATTTTTTATTAATGGAATTGTATTATTCAAATATGAATCTATAATCCTGAATAGTAAAATTGCTTAGTCCTGGGATATATGTTCTATAATTCCTAATTTTATTGACTTCAGTTGTATCAATACATCATCAAAATTTAATAATTAGATATAATTTAACAATTTTGCAATTATTAAGACTTATTAAATCTGTTAATAATTTTATTGTAACATATGATGAATATAATAATTGGTAATATTTTTATTATTATTTTATCATTGTATTTGAAATTTAAAATGTTTAATTTTGACAGAAAAGTGTTTTTTGTCCCAAGTTTGTTGTAACCCAATGGTTTTTGCTTTCATTTTTTGAACCCTTAATTATAATTTTTTTAATTAATTGTAACTCTTTTTTTCTTCTGCAACATAACTATACAAATTATTTTGGTGTTGTCTCACACAAAAGATAATCAAATTTAAATTCGTTTTAATGATTTTAGTAATTTCATTAATGTTTGTTTTATAAATTTGCCTGCTTTTTAAAAGAATTTTAATAGTAAGAGAGTTAACATTGATTGAACTATAGGGCTACCTAATTTCAAATCAAGGCTGGGGGTTGGCAATTCAGTTTAAAATAGAAACAAAATTATTTTTTAATTGAATAAATATTATATAAAATTATTTTTAATATTTAGTATATTTATAATGATAAAAGGACTTTCTCATTATAATTATGAAAGTTTGTTATTCATAGAATTGCTGTAATACATTAAATTTTCAAATTTGATTCATGCGATTCTAAGTAAAAATTGATTTTTAAGATGAATCAGTGTAGACATTCATTGTTCAAGTGAATGAATTCAAAAATTGGTTAACTTGTGATGATGATGATATTAGTTTAGTTCATTGCATCATTTGCCAAATCTAAGTTAGTGTTAAATATGTGATGACTACAGGGAAGGAGAAGAGCAACTTCTCCTTCCCTGTAGTCATCACATTGGCCAATGAAGCAGTGCAATGTTCCAAAGATTACAAACCTAACTGACATGATGGGATAGTTCTTTGAGTAAAAAGGAATAAGTTGTAATTTCCTATGTTGTTTTTGAAACCGTGTTTTGCGAATATATTGGACTTTGAAGTCCAAGTTGTAATTTCTCTAAGGGTAATGTTGCAATATTAACTTTATCTGAAATAAGATTACAAATTTATTTTCATAATACACAATAAAAGCATGCATATCCACATATAAATGGAGAATTTTCAAGTGTCTTTCTAAAGATTGATTTTAGATTTCTCAATCAATTTCCATTCTTAAGCTTAATGTTTATTAATTAATGAATATACTGTGCTCATAATGTAAATTGTTAAATTTTCTAAACTAAAATAAACGTTAGAAAATATTCAAAAGAATCAAAATTGAAATCTGGAATTGTATCGGAATTGAGAAAAATTTTGGTATCATTCCATCACTAGTTAGAATTAAATTATGTTTGTATTATGGAAAGAATAAAATGTACCTGTATATATTTTATTTGTTAAATGTGAAAATTTATTAATTTAGAAAATTTTATGTATAAAGTGAATCACTGGATAAAAGAATTTAGAGAATTTACCCAATTTTAAATTTATACATGGAGAAATGTTTCTGTTCTTCAAGTCTGATGTAAAGAATAAATAATAGCTAATACAGTTTATGTAGTTATAAATTAAAAATTTCACTATGTGGTCTACCAAATGAACAATCACAATTATGTGATCCTAGCATACCATTTGTGTTGCAAAACTTCAATGGACATTCAAGTATGGACAGCCATCTGTCAGGTGTTGGAAGAGTCAGGGGATAAAATAACCAATCAGTTTATTTATTTGAACTAAAATCCATCACAGAATTCAATCCATAAGATAGATAATAAGGATCAAGCTTCTGACACTGATCATCTTGGAGGGGACAAGACGGTTGGTAAAGAGCATGGAAAGACTCCTCTCAGCCATGAGACAATCTAAATGTATGTTTTGGAGTAATTGACATAAAAAAAGCAGGGGCAATCTCACATAGATCTAATGGAGGTGACAAAAAGGTTTGAGAAGTGGTTCTGAACGGTAGAATTATGACTGGATTATTTAAAGATGATTCCAGAGATAGAAGAGTCCACTCATTAAGAAAACTGCAAACTAGGAACCATCTGGAATGGAATCATTTTCCAGGCCTTGTTAGTCGCAGGCCTTACTCATTCTAGATCAATTTGATTCACTGTTGGATCATAAATAATCTATATATATATATATATATATATAAATGGACGTGTGTGTGTCCCTATATTTCACTTTTCCACAAAAACTACACATTTCACATGAATGCTGTTTGTATGTGGCAGTAGCCCCAAGTCTCCATTCATGCACTATGGGGGTTGCATCTGGATAGCTGTAAGGGTGCAGGAGAGATGGGGCTGAAAGTGGTTTTCTATTTCGAATGTTTTGTTCAAATTTAATTCGAACAATATTCGAATTTGAATTCAAACATAAAATTTGAATATTGGTTCGATTATAGAACGATTGTAAACGTTCCAGAAACGTTGAAAAGAGTTTGTTTGACTGGACGTGAACAGGAGATGTTCAGAAATAAAATCGGGACCAGGTCTCTAATTAGTCTGGAAACAGGGGACCTAGTTCTTGCATTCTGTGAAAACGGGTAAGATTGGCTATACTGTAATGTAATTATCTTAAACTTCACTATCGTTACTTTTTGCCCACAAATAAAAACCCAGCAAAGCGGGTCCTTGCAGCTAGATTCTAGATTACTTAGAAAAACAGTCTTTTATATATAAAAAACAACTATATTACATACAAATGTACGAACAAATAAAAACCCAGCGAAGCGGGTCCTTGCAGCTAGTTTTATTATAAAAATAAACTACTTTCTAAGTGAAATAAATTGCATCACACTCTTCAAAATATGTTTATGATTTTTGCTGACCCATATCATTTTGAGAAATTGATGTATATTATCATTTTATTAAGATTTGCATAAATTATAAAAATAATTTGTTTATAAAGTAAGTTATTGTATTGATAGATACTATGCTAATTTCTAAAATAATATTAATGTCAAATTGCATTGAATTGTAATTATCACATTTGTCAGATTCTTTTTCTTTAATTTGTTTTAAAATTATGATAAAATTCATATTTTATTTTGTTAATATATATATTAAATTTATTTATTTTTTCTTTAGCTTCTATTAGAATACTGCAACCTCTTCCTGCTACAACTATAGTTGATCTTGGATCAAAATTAACACTGTCTTGTAATGTGAGTGGCATTCCAAATCCACAATTCAGCTGGTTTAAAGATGGACAGAAGCTGGCCTCTGAATTAAAGCGGAGAATACGCGAGTTAGAAAATGGAATTCTAGTATTTACCACTTTGGAAAAATTGGATGAAGGAAATTATACCTGTCATGCTGAAAATGATTTTGATGCTCTGAATTTAAGTACTCGAGTTATTATTCAAAGTAAGATTTGTTTTTTGTTACATTTTATAATTTGATAAAATTTATATGTAATTCTATAACAAAAAACATCAAATTGCTTAATGAATGAATATTGCTTAGCCAGAAACAAATGTCTGAATTAAAGCCATGTTTTTGAACAATATTTTGTATAGAAAATATATCTACCCAGAATTATACATTGTTTAAGATGTAAGATAACTAAAATACTCAAATCATGGACTAATAATTAATATAGAATACCAAACAATAAAATAAAATAAAAGCTAATTCTTTAATGAAGAACATTTAAACAAAAACCAAACAGAATCAGAAAAATTATGCATTCAAATGTTTTTGAATTGCCTGAACTGATCTTCAGCATATAGAACATTGTTGCTATGATGGTGAGATTGTAGAATTTAATTAAGTAATAGTTGGCATGGGTTACAATAAAAAAATTCAAAAATTGTGTATTAATAATGAATGAAAGCAAACTTAAGTTGTAAAAAGTTTATTAATACAGTAATACCCCGAACTTACGCGATAGGTGGGACCGAGCGGTAACCGCATAAGTCGAATTTGCGTAAGTCGGGGTATAATTTCGCATATAAATACATACAAATAATTTTTAATTGGGGCCGGAGACTAAAGAAAACATTAATTCCAGATTATTTTTAAGCAAGTGAAACACTACACACATAAATCTTAATATGCATTGGTGATAGTAATAGTGGTTTCTGTTTTTGGAATGTGGTTTAGAAACTAACAGTTTGAACTGTTTACAGTTAGTAGAAAAGAAAAATGCAGATTGAACTTGACAGTGGAAAAATATTATTGGCATATATCTTTTTGATTCAATAAATAAAATACTTGTAGGCACAAATATGACTATATTTTGTATTCATGGTGTTTTTTTAGGTCTTCCAATGAAAACAATGAGTTGAGATTTCACTGTGTAAATTAAATCTTTTATAGTCACTTGCTTTGTAATTCTTATTTTTACAATTAATATAAATTTTTCAGTATGACTGCATGAAATTCCACATTTAAGTGTCTTATGTTTGTTGTCAATCTCTGGTTTTACATAGTTCAAAAGGATGTGAATTTAAATTATGTTGGTTTGCTTCATAAATTTTCCAGAAACCAATTAGGCTATAAAATTGAAATTAGTATCTAGTGGTATCTATATCAGAGAATGGCTATATCTATTACTATATGTAGTAGATATAGCCACTCCCTGACTGACATATGGATTTTGTTCTGCAAAGTCAGAATTATAAATGCTTATGTAGCATTTGTAATTATGCTTGCCTAAATTTGAGTATAACAAAAAGAAATGTGTGATAAATAGTGTGAATGGAATAAATTCAATGTTTTATTTTCATTTACTGGAAAAATGATGGGTATGTGCTTTGAAATGTACAATTAAAAAATTAAGACAAATGCCAGTAAAAACGTCTTACAATCAAAAATAAAACAAGAATACAAGTGCAATTAAGAATACCAAATACTGGACAACTACTGACCAACAGCAGATGGTCAAGCAACTATATATATTCAAATTTTATTACAGAACAAACACAATGAATGTTTTATGTGCTTTTTTTAAGCAGTTATGGAGTTAGGCTTTTGTTAGGCTCAGTTATGGAGTTATCCAGTTGGTTTGCCATTTAATTTTTTTGTAATATGCAAAATACATTTCTATGCATTTTTTGAATTTTCATGGGACAGAAAAATTTATGCAAGTCAGTGAGTGTCTGTATATAAAAGAATATATTTTTTCTTACAACTATAATGAATTTTCTATTAATACTAAAATAAAACTTTTCCAGAAACTGGGCTATACTATAATGTACAAAAATTCACTACCCTGATGTTTACCCAGCTTATTTTTAGAAAAAAACGAACATTTTTGGTCTACTTCTAAAGACCTTCTTCATTTGTTTAAAATTTTTCACCTGAAGTAGGTCTTAGAAGAAGGCCAAAAATGTTGTAGCTGGGTGAATATCAAGGTAGTGAAATTTTGATCTTCAATCATCAATAGAAATGTACAAAGTAAATATTAGTAATTGATATACATTGCTTTAATAATCTATTGTTTCATTTTATTTTTATTTATTTAATAATATAAGGTGAACTCTGTATATGGCATATTACAACAAAAAAAGTCATTATGCTTATCAATATCAATTCCAGTACAAAATACATTATTATTAACAGTACAGCACAAAATAATAAGCCTGTTAAAAAAGAAAAAAGCAATATAATATTTATGACAATAAACAAACAAAACCAACAATAATAATTATATCCAAAAAAAGAAAAAAAATACACACAAAAATGGAAGCAAATAGTCAATGCTAACAAAAATTCTACAGAAACTATATACAAAGAAAATTAAACAATTACCTGAAAGAAATGAGTAAATTATTAATTATAATATGCCCAAAAGCATATTATAATTAATAATTTCAAACCAACCAAAAATGCTGCCAACTCTCAAACACTGAAACATGCAATAATATACTATATCGACATCTCCTGGTGGTTATTTTTTTTTTCAGAATCTTATCTTAAACTAAACAAATTAGTTTTCATTAGCCATTCATCTTAGTAATAAAATTATAAATACAGTGATATTTATTATAATCTTGTAACAATTGCTTATATGATTGAACTGATAAATAATCTGAACCAAAACACTTTTATCTGTCATACGTCAAAGCCTTACATTCAGTTGCTAAATGAAAAGCACCAAAATTAACACAAGAGGAACAGAATTTACAATGATCTAAACACAGAGCTATCATTCTTTTAAGTATATTGTATCTCACATATAACACTGTTTGTATAATACAAAATAGTCTCTCTATATTTAAATAGGTTACTGAGCCCCATTCATTAAAAATATCCAAATGCAACTTATTATATTTATAATTAGCAGCTCTATCTTTAAACTGCTTCATACACAGCAAAATATTAAATAAATATACTTTTAATTAAAATATATAAGACATACTAGAACAGTGAGAATTGATTAAAAAAAAAAAAAATTCATCATTGAACATACAATGATTATAATTAATTTATAACAAAAATTTCTAAATAAAGATGTATCTTATTCACTGAATTCACTTATATTTTGATTTTTTAATCAGAATGAATTTAACAGTAATTTTATTTTTATACTTTTAGTTAATGATTTATCTAGTTTGGTGATAGTTTCATTCAAAGCATTCATAAAAATTGTTATTGTATTTTTACTTTTTCGTGTACATGAAAAAGTAAAAATACAATAACAATTTTAATAATAATTAATATTTTTGTAATTGTATATTTATACATAATGTTAAAGGTTAACCAGTTTCTAAATAATTTTTTTGCAGCTCCTCCAGACAAATTGGTTGATGTCAGCGTTCACCCAACAACAATTGTAGCCACCATCCGCTGGAGAGTTTCAGACGATGGTGGTTATCCAATAACTCATTTTACTCTGATGTACCGTCCATTACATTCCAATGAGAGAATTGCTGCTTGGCATATCCCATTTCCTATTCTCATTAGTCCAATTGCAGTAAGTGCATTTTTATATAATTAGACAAAGTAGTTTAAAATTCTGACTAAAAACAAATTAAATATTTTTTTGTTTTTAGAATAAATGAATTCCTAAACAATAAATTTTGTTAATTAAATCCAATGGAATCAGTTAGTTAATTGACATGGAATTATTTAAGTAAATTTCTTATTTACTGAATTACAAACAGAATTATACATTCAATAATAATTACAGTTGATTTAGATGAATATTTATCAATATTTTAATTAAATTTCACTGTATTAGAGAAAATTTAAAGTATTGCAAGTATCAAGGTTGATTTGACTGCAATTAACTTAATTAAGACTTTAACGTTTTTCTACTATGACTGTATTAATTTAATAAAGTGCAATATCTTCATGTTTGTTATATAATTTTGTTATATTAATATATATAACAGATTTTTTAAAGTAAAAACAGTTTTTAAATATAATAAATTATCAATCATTTTAGTTATTAATTACATATTTAAAACTTCAAATAATTTTGTAGTATAAAAAGTCTGGTATGACTTCTTAAAAAGTGGTTAACTTTCTGAAATCAGAAATCATTATTATTGTTGTTATTATTAAAGTTAAACATCATTAGGTTTGGTTTAATTCAATAATTTTCATCATATTTTATGTACCCAGGTGCAGATCAAGGAATTTCATTTAGTGGGTGCACTTCATGTCAATATCGATGTCCTTGTAGTTCTATGATGGAAACTCTTTTCTACTTAGGATTTTAGGGAGTGCGTAAGCATCCTCTGCACCCCGTGGATTTGCCCCTAGTACCATAATTAATTAATCTTAATATAAATTTTTTCTATATTTTCTTTGGCAAAGAATTACATTTTGTAAGTAAAGTCTAAATCCCACTCTTACAATAATTAACCATAGATTGGAAAATATTTTAGGAAAACAATAATATATATTAACAAGGATATTTGACCAAAACTTTACAAAAAGACTGAAAGCATGTATATACTGTACATTTAGAATCAAAATACATTTTTATAGCAAGAATATTTTATACTTGAGAGAGAATTGAATTTTGATCATTGATTCAGGCCTTGTAATGATGATAAATAATATATAATTAATGTTTCATTTTGGTTTGTGTTATTTTATTAACTATAATTTTCTTATATTATCAAAAAAGTTGTATATACTTTCAGCGTCAATTTCTTGTATATAATCTGCAACCGGGAATGGATTACATTTTTCGCCTCTGGGCCAACAACAAATTGGGTCCGGGAGAAGCAACTGTAGTGCAAGCCTCGACGACAAACACATTAGAGTCTCCAGGTATTTTATAAGTTTATTAATCTGTAACAAAATGTGCAATATTCCTACAGCAATATATTTTTTTACTTGAAATTTCATTAAAACTAAAATAACGAAACATTTGTACTTATTTTGAAAAAAATAGTATTATAAATTATATCTCTCACAATTTGACTCAACATTTATCAGAAAATTGGATTAAATTTTTTTTAGTTTATATAAATTATTTATAAAACAATTTATATTTAGGTGAATCTTTAGTTGCTATCAATAAAATTATAAGATGATTTTATCTAATATATAAAATTGTCCTTAATTTATGAAACACTGATATTTTTACATAGCTATATACTAAAATAAAAAATTCTACTAAAGCTTAAGTTAAAATAGAATTGTGAAGAACATATCAGTTTATATTATGTCATATTAAGATTTACAAAATATATATTATTTTTTCATGAATTTTTAAAAAATGTCTGTTAGTTAAAATTTATCTAAAAATAATTTCAAAGATAAATGAGGTGTTTTTAAAGAATTCAAAATTTGTAATTATGCAGAGATTAACTGTGTTCATTGATAGTAATATTTTTTATAATTAAAATATATGTGAAACAGGTAATATCAGCTATTTATTTTACTTATGAAATTCATAGATTTGATGTATAAATAAAGGATAAATCTTTTGTATATAATCAGAAGGTGGTTGATACAATGACTGAAATGTAGTTTATTAAATAAAAGGATTATTATAATTGTTGATCAATAAAAATATAAAACAATGGGATCGGTGAAATTTCTAAAATATAATTTCTAAAAATAAATGATTATCTTTAGATAAAATAAACGAGTAAATATAAAACACTCTTTCTTAAACCGATTTCGAGTGATTTATATTGGCAGACAAATAATTAACAAAGATACTATACTTCAGCCAACGTTATTTCTTTTATTATTTTCCAATTTTTCAAAAAATTTTCCAAAAGGTTCTCCAAATGCATTTCGCCGTTACAGCCTCATCGGTGGATTATCTTACAACAAACAACTCTAGTTTTTATACAAATAAATTTTTCCCAGCATGCATCAACGTTTAGACCGACATTCTGATTTAACAAATTTGCATGTTCAACAATACATAAGTGCTCTACTACTCGTCTTTTAAACACGTTTTCTATTTTATATAATATTTTTACCGAATTTTTATTAATTTTACAATTATAATTGATACAATAATGACACCAAGGTGACTCTTGTCTTTTTAGACGAATCGCTGCCTCCTGTTCTTTTAGGCGTATCTCGAGCCTCCATCCCGTTTCTCCAACATATGATTTCGCTTGCAATCACATGATACTTTGTAAACCACTCCTGCGACGTCAAGCTGATTTCTTACTTTATTTTGACCTTTAGTATTTATAATATTAATGATATTCGACATTTTGTTTTCCTGCTTCGCCACTACACATATAGAAAACTTTTTAAATATGGGTTTATATCGTTCATAAAGATTATTTATATAAGGCATTTTAACATAAGTATTATTATTTATACAATTTTTTACATTATATCTGTAATTTATAAAAGAATTATACCACTTACAAATTTTACTCTTTGGATAGTCGTTCAATAAGTATTTTCTAAATAAATGTTTAATTTCTTTATTTNGTCTTTTATATATAAAAAACAACTATATTACATACAAATGTACGAACAAATAAAAACCCAGCGAAGCGGGTCCTTGCAGCTAGTTTTATTATAAAAATAAACTACTTTCTAAGTGAAATAAATTGCATCACACTCTTCAAAATATGTTTATGATTTTTGCTGACCCATATCATTTTGAGAAATTGATGTATATTATCATTTTATTAAGATTTGCATAAATTATAAAAATAATTTGTTTATAAAGTAAGTTATTGTATTGATAGATACTATGCTAATTTCTAAAATAATATTAATGTCAAATTGCATTGAATTGTAATTATCACATTTGTCAGATTCTTTTTCTTTAATTTGTTTTAAAATTATGATAAAATTCATATTTTATTTTGTTAATATATATATTAAATTTATTTATTTTTTCTTTAGCTTCTATTAGAATACTGCAACCTCTTCCTGCTACAACTATAGTTGATCTTGGATCAAAATTAACACTGTCTTGTAATGTGAGTGGCATTCCAAATCCACAATTCAGCTGGTTTAAAGATGGACAGAAGCTGGCCTCTGAATTAAAGCGGAGAATACGCGAGTTAGAAAATGGAATTCTAGTATTTACCACTTTGGAAAAATTGGATGAAGGAAATTATACCTGTCATGCTGAAAATGATTTTGATGCTCTGAATTTAAGTACTCGAGTTATTATTCAAAGTAAGATTTGTTTTTTGTTACATTTTATAATTTGATAAAATTTATATGTAATTCTATAACAAAAAACATCAAATTGCTTAATGAATGAATATTGCTTAGCCAGAAACAAATGTCTGAATTAAAGCCATGTTTTTGAACAATATTTTGTATAGAAAATATATCTACCCAGAATTATACATTGTTTAAGATGTAAGATAACTAAAATACTCAAATCATGGACTAATAATTAATATAGAATACCAAACAATAAAATAAAATAAAAGCTAATTCTTTAATGAAGAACATTTAAACAAAAACCAAACAGAATCAGAAAAATTATGCATTCAAATGTTTTTGAATTGCCTGAACTGATCTTCAGCATATAGAACATTGTTGCTATGATGGTGAGATTGTAGAATTTAATTAAGTAATAGTTGGCATGGGTTACAATAAAAAAATTCAAAAATTGTGTATTAATAATGAATGAAAGCAAACTTAAGTTGTAAAAAGTTTATTAATACAGTAATACCCCGAACTTACGCGATAGGTGGGACCGAGCGGTAACCGCATAAGTCGAATTTGCGTAAGTCGGGGTATAATTTCGCATATAAATACATACAAATAATTTTTAATTGGGGCCGGAGACTAAAGAAAACATTAATTCCAGATTATTTTTAAGCAAGTGAAACACTACACACATAAATCTTAATATGCATTGGTGATAGTAATAGTGGTTTCTGTTTTTGGAATGTGGTTTAGAAACTAACAGTTTGAACTGTTTACAGTTAGTAGAAAAGAAAAATGCAGATTGAACTTGACAGTGGAAAAATATTATTGGCATATATCTTTTTGATTCAATAAATAAAATACTTGTAGGCACAAATATGACTATATTTTGTATTCATGGTGTTTTTTTAGGTCTTCCAATGAAAACAATGAGTTGAGATTTCACTGTGTAAATTAAATCTTTTATAGTCACTTGCTTTGTAATTCTTATTTTTACAATTAATATAAATTTTTCAGTATGACTGCATGAAATTCCACATTTAAGTGTCTTATGTTTGTTGTCAATCTCTGGTTTTACATAGTTCAAAAGGATGTGAATTTAAATTATGTTGGTTTGCTTCATAAATTTTCCAGAAACCAATTAGGCTATAAAATTGAAATTAGTATCTAGTGGTATCTATATCAGAGAATGGCTATATCTATTACTATATGTAGTAGATATAGCCACTCCCTGACTGACATATGGATTTTGTTCTGCAAAGTCAGAATTATAAATGCTTATGTAGCATTTGTAATTATGCTTGCCTAAATTTGAGTATAACAAAAAGAAATGTGTGATAAATAGTGTGAATGGAATAAATTCAATGTTTTATTTTCATTTACTGGAAAAATGATGGGTATGTGCTTTGAAATGTACAATTAAAAAATTAAGACAAATGCCAGTAAAAACGTCTTACAATCAAAAATAAAACAAGAATACAAGTGCAATTAAGAATACCAAATACTGGACAACTACTGACCAACAGCAGATGGTCAAGCAACTATATATATTCAAATTTTATTACAGAACAAACACAATGAATGTTTTATGTGCTTTTTTTAAGCAGTTATGGAGTTAGGCTTTTGTTAGGCTCAGTTATGGAGTTATCCAGTTGGTTTGCCATTTAATTTTTTTGTAATATGCAAAATACATTTCTATGCATTTTTTGAATTTTCATGGGACAGAAAAATTTATGCAAGTCAGTGAGTGTCTGTATATAAAAGAATATATTTTTTCTTACAACTATAATGAATTTTCTATTAATACTAAAATAAAACTTTTCCAGAAACTGGGCTATACTATAATGTACAAAAATTCACTACCCTGATGTTTACCCAGCTTATTTTTAGAAAAAAACGAACATTTTTGGTCTACTTCTAAAGACCTTCTTCATTTGTTTAAAATTTTTCACCTGAAGTAGGTCTTAGAAGAAGGCCAAAAATGTTGTAGCTGGGTGAATATCAAGGTAGTGAAATTTTGATCTTCAATCATCAATAGAAATGTACAAAGTAAATATTAGTAATTGATATACATTGCTTTAATAATCTATTGTTTCATTTTATTTTTATTTATTTAATAATATAAGGTGAACTCTGTATATGGCATATTACAACAAAAAAAGTCATTATGCTTATCAATATCAATTCCAGTACAAAATACATTATTATTAACAGTACAGCACAAAATAATAAGCCTGTTAAAAAAGAAAAAAGCAATACAATATTTATGACAATAAACAAACAAAACCGACAATAATAATTATATCCAAAAAAAGAAAAAAAATACACACAAAAATGGAAGCAAATAGTCAATGCTAACAAAAATTCTACAGAAACTATATACAAAGAAAATTAAACAATTACCTGAAAGAAATGAGTAAATTATTAATTATAATATGCCCAAAAGCATATTATAATTAATAATTTCAAACCAACCAAAAATGCTGCCAACTCTCAAACACTGAAACATGCAATAATATACTATATCGACATCTCCTGGTGGTTATTTTTTTTTTCAGAATCTTATCTTAAACTAAACAAATTAGTTTTCATTAGCCATTCATCTTAGTAATAAAATTATAAATACAGTGATATTTATTATAATCTTGTAACAATTGCTTATATGATTGAACTGATAAATAATCTGAACCAAAACACTTTTATCTGTCATACGTCAAAGCCTTACATTCAGTTGCTAAATGAAAAGCACCAAAATTAACACAAGAGGAACAGAATTTACAATGATCTAAACACAGAGCTATCATTCTTTTAAGTATATTGTATCTCACATATAACACTGTTTGTATAATACAAAATAGTCTCTCTATATTTAAATAGGTTACTGAGCCCCATTCATTAAAAATATCCAAATGCAACTTATTATATTTATAATTAGCAGCTCTATCTTTAAACTGCTTCATATACAGCAAAATATTAAATAAATATACTTTTAATTAAAATATATAAGACATACTAGAACAGTGAGAATTGATTAAAAAAAAAAAAAATTCATCATTGAACATACAATGATTATAATTAATTTATAACAAAAATTTCTAAATAAAGATGTATCTTATTCACTGAATTCACTTATATTTTGATTTTTTAATCAGAATGAATTTAACAGTAATTTTATTTTTATACTTTTAGTTAATGATTTATCTAGTTTGGTGATAGTTTCATTCAAAGCATTCATAAAAATTGTTATTGTATTTTTACTTTTTCGTGTACATGAAAAAGTAAAAATACAATAACAATTTTAATAATAATTAATATTTTTGTAATTGTATATTTATACATAATGTTAAAGGTTAACCAGTTTCTAAATAATTTTTTTGCAGCTCCTCCAGACAAATTGGTTGATGTCAGCGTTCACCCAACAACAATTGTAGCCACCATCCGCTGGAGAGTTTCAGACGATGGTGGTTATCCAATAACTCATTTTACTCTGATGTACCGTCCATTACATTCCAATGAGAGAATTGCTGCTTGGCATATCCCATTTCCTATTCTCATTAGTCCAATTGCAGTAAGTGCATTTTTATATAATTAGACAAAGTAGTTTAAAATTCTGACTAAAAACAAATTAAATATTTTTTTGTTTTTAGAATAAATGAATTCCTAAACAATAAATTTTGTTAATTAAATCCAATGGAATCAGTTAGTTAATTGACATGGAATTATTTAAGTAAATTTCTTATTTACTGAATTACAAACAGAATTATACATTCAATAATAATTACAGTTGAATAATACAGTTTAGATGAATATTTATCAATATTTTAATTAAATTTCACTGTATTAGAGAAAATTTAAAGTATTGCAAGTATCAAGGTTGATTTGACTGCAATTAACTTAATTAAGACTTTAACGTTTTTCTACTATGACTGTATTAATTTAATAAAGTGCAATATCTTCATGTTTGTTATATAATTTTGTTATATTAATATATATAACAGATTTTTTAAAGTAAAAACAGTTTTTAAATATAATAAATTATCAATCATTTTAGTTATTAATTACATATTTAAAACTTCAAATAATTTTGTAGTATAAAAAGTCTGGTATGACTTCTTAAAAAGTGGTTAACTTTCTGAAATCAGAAATCATTATTATTGTTGTTATTATTAAAGTTAAACATCATTAGGTTTGGTTTAATTCAATAATTTTCATCATATTTTATGTACCCAGGTGCAGATCAAGGAATTTCATTTAGTGGGTGCACTTCATGTCAATATCGATGTCCTTGTAGTTCTATGATGGAAACTCTTTTCTACTTAGGATTTTAGGGAGTGCGTAAGCATCCTCTGCACCCCGTGGATTTGCCCCTAGTACCATAATTAATTAATCTTAATATAAATTTTTTCTATATTTTCTTTGGCAAAGAATTACATTTTGTAAGTAAAGTCTAAATCCCACTCTTACAATAATTAACCATAGATTGGAAAATATTTTAGGAAAACAATAATATATATTAACAAGGATATTTGACCAAAACTTTACAAAAAGACTGAAAGCATGTATATACTGTACATTTAGAATCAAAATACATTTTTATAGCAAGAATATTTTATACTTGAGAGAGAATTGAATTTTGATCATTGATTCAGGCCTTGTAATGATGATAAATAATATATAATTAATGTTTCATTTTGGTTTGTGTTATTTTATTAACTATAATTTTCTTATATTATCAAAAAAGTTGTATATACTTTCAGCGTCAATTTCTTGTATATAATCTGCAACCGGGAATGGATTACATTTTTCGCCTCTGGGCCAACAACAAATTGGGTCCGGGAGAAGCAACTGTAGTGCAAGCCTCGACGACAAACACATTAGAGTCTCCAGGTATTTTATAAGTTTATTAATCTGTAACAAAATGTGCAATATTCCTACAGCAATATATTTTTTTACTTGAAATTTCATTAAAACTAAAATAACGAAACATTTGTACTTATTTTGAAAAAAATAGTATTATAAATTATATCTCTCACAATTTGACTCAACATTTATCAGAAAATTGGATTAAATTTTTTTTAGTTTATATAAATTATTTATAAAACAATTTATATTTAGGTGAATCTTTAGTTGCTATCAATAAAATTATAAGATGATTTTATCTAATATATAAAATTGTCCTTAATTTATGAAACACTGATATTTTTACATAGCTATATACTAAAATAAAAAATTCTACTAAAGCTTAAGTTAAAATAGAATTGTGAAGAACATATCAGTTTATATTATGTCATATTAAGATTTACAAAATATATATTATTTTTTCATGAATTTTTAAAAAATGTCTGTTAGTTAAAATTTATCTAAAAATAATTTCAAAGATAAATGAGGTGTTTTTAAAGAATTCAAAATTTGTAATTATGCAGAGATTAACTGTGTTCATTGATAGTAATATTTTTTATAATTAAAATATATGTGAAACAGGTAATATCAGCTATTTATTTTACTTATGAAATTCATAGATTTGATGTATAAATAAAGGATAAATCTTTTGTATATAATCAGAAGGTGGTTGATACAATGACTGAAATGTAGTTTATTAAATAAAAGGATTATTATAATTGTTGATCAATAAAAATATAAAACAATGGGATCGGTGAAATTTCTAAAATATAATTTCTAAAAATAAATGATTATCTTTAGATAAAATAAACGAGTAAATATAAAACACTCTTTCTTAAACCGATTTCGAGTGATTTATATTGGCAGACAAATAATTAACAAAGATACTATACTTCAGCCAACGTTATTTCTTTTATTATTTTCCAATTTTTCAAAAAATTTTCCAAAAGGTTCTCCAAATGCATTTCGCCGTTACAGCCTCATCGGTGGATTATCTTACAACAAGCAACTCATTACTTTTTATACAAATAAATTTTTCCCAGCATGCATCAACGTTTAGACCGACATTCTGATTTAACAAATTTGCATGTTCAACAATACAAAAGTGCTCTACTACTCGTCTTTTAAACCAGTTTTCTATTTTATATAATATTTTTACAGAATTTCTATTAATTTTACAATTATAATTGATACAATGATGATACCAAGGTGACTCTTGTCTTTTTAGACGAATCGCTGCCTCGTGTTCTTTTAGGCGTATCTCGAGCCTCCGTCCCGTTTCTCCAACATATGATTTCGCTTGCAAACAATCACATGATACTTTGTAAACCACTCCTGCGACGTCAAGCTGATTTCTTACTTTATTTTGACCTTTAGTATTTATAATATTAATGATATTCGACATTTTGTTTTCCTGCTTCGCCACTACACATATAGAAAACTTTTTAAATATGGGTTTATATCGTTCATAAAGATTATTTATATAAGGCATTTTAACATAAGTATTATTATTTATACAATTTTTTACATTATATCTGTAATTTATAAAAGAATTATACCACTTACAAATTTTACTCTTTGGATAGTCGTTCAATAAGTATTTTCTAAATAAATGTGAATAAGAAAGAGTGTTTTATATTTACTCGTTTATTTTATCTAAAGATAATCATTTATTTTTAGAAATTATATTTTTAAATAAAAGGAATTATTTTAATTGTGAATGTGTTTATTCTGTTAAAGTTTAAAGTTACAATGAAATGAATTAGTATAACAGATAGTAGTAAATAGTCATTGTTCACTTAAGGTTTCTTTGATTTATTTGTAATTATCAATAATTATGTCATGCATTCAAAAAAAATTTTTTTGTGGATGTTTCTGGTTTTTACTTACTGAACTTACATATTGAATTAATTTTATTATGTTTCTATTTTCTATTTATTGCCATTTTCTTGGAGATTTTACATTTGTTTTCTATAAGCTCCAAGCACTTTCAGGCCTTTGGCCTATTATCATGGTCCAATATTAATGTTAGAAGAAACTTCAAAAACCATCAGAGAGAATATTGTCTACTGTTCCAGCAGAATGTAAACATTTCTTTCTCATTCCTAAAAAACTAAAAAAGTTTGTTAGGCTTGAAAAAGAAATCATTTGTCAATTATTGTCCGTGGTTGAGTTTGTTAATACATATGAATTCTAGGTTACTTTTATTTACTTATATTACTCAAGTTATTTCTCTTAGATTTTCATTTGATGTTTTGGTGGTTTTTCTTATAAGGTTTTACATCAAAAACTTCTAAATAATATTGATGGCAATACTATTTTATATTTTAAGATATGATATGGTGTTTTAATCTAGTTTCTAATCAAATAGATATCAGCAATTTCTTTAATGTAAAGAACTAGAAGAATTGGAAGTACCGTATTTCATCTCGTTCTAGTTTTATTCATTCATGTTTGTTTTTCAATTTTTTACTGTATTTAGTTTTGTCTTGTTAGCTGTCAATTTCATTTAAATTACAAATACTGTACATATTTGTTTTAATTTATTGCATTTCTTAAAGATTACTTTATTCTTGTATATAGCATTGTGTTCTAATTTATTTTGGGATACTTTTAACATTTACAGTGTATTTCTTGCATGCAAGAATTCTTATTTGAATTTGCCTGATATCATCATTCACTATCATGTAGATTTTTTTTGGTAAAGCTAGCATAAACATCTCATTATTTCAAGAATGCATGTTAACGTTTAAGAAGAAAAGGGAAAAAATATAATTTCAAAGTAGCATTTTATTGTAATTGCAGAAATTTTTTACTACTGTAAATGCTGAAATAAAAGATTTTTTTGTTCTCTGAATCATTTATGAAACAATTATTTATCTCGTAAACTATTGTAAATTTCCTAAATCTTATTAGTGTTGGATAAATTTGAGCATTGTCTTTAGTCAACACAACTTTCAATGTTTTTACAGACAAATAATTTTCATATAATTTTACTTTATTAATTTTCTGTAGTACTATAGAAAGATAATATTATTGTTAGTAAAGTAAAAAATTTCAAAAGAATGAGCATAGCAAACGCAAGACTCGTGCTTTATGGAAGTGTTGCTACCAACTGAAAACAGTTGTAATTTTAATAAAAATTGATTATTTATGAAATATATTGCTTTAATTTTTATTTCAGACGTGATTCGACATATGTTGGCCAATTCTGACGAGTTCAGTTCAGCAGTGTGGATGGTGGCCATATCTGTAGTCATGGGTACAGTACTTGTTTTGTCCTGTTTGAGCTGCATACTTATATATAAAGAAAGTAGAAATGGTACGTTGCTGTAATCTTACTTATTTGTATTTAATGAGTAGGGGCTTTTTTATAATTTAAAATCTATTCCAGCAAATTTAATTGATTTAAATTTCAAGAAATGAAAATTTCTGTGTAAATTTACTTTGAGTGGAAAATGCTTTTATCAGTCTCAATGAGAACAAAAATTTCTCAAGCCATTGAAAACATTTTTTAAATTCATTTAAATACAAGACTAAATTTACTTACAACAATTTATTTCTTTCAAAACCTGATATGGTAAGATTGAGTTGAGAGAATAAGGAAGAAATGCAATCTCAAACTTAAATATAACTTTCTAATCTTTATAAATGGAAAAGATTGTGCACTGCTGTGCTAATGGAACTAATTCCTTTTATTGTTTTTTTTCCTGAAATTCAGATAAATGTACACAAAAATTTTCATTTCTTCAAATTTAAATCAATTAAAATTAATAAATAAATTATCTAAAACTTGTACAATATATTTCTTGTTCTTTTTCTATAGAATTTAATCAAATCACTTTAGACTTTGATTTTACAAATTAATTGTTGACTATTAATATCATTTTTTACATAAAATATTAATTACAATTATGTAATCCTACAACACTTATGCTTAAATTTGATGTACTACATGCATTCTTTTTATTACCATGAAAATAATTTTGACTAAAGGATGTACAGTATGACACACTTAATGCGGGGGACACATTCCTAGACAACAAAGTGTTAAATGAGGTCATTTTAACGTAGAGTAAATAGGGATAGGGAACAGGCAACCAAAAATAAACAAATTTTAATTTAATTTTAAGTTATTTTTATAATAATATATAATATAATAATATATATAATATAATAATAATAATAATAATATATGTTAAATAACACGCAAACATGCACACAGAAATGTAAAGTTCATTTTTTGTGACTAAGGTCCACTGGCTTTTCTGAAATTCTTGCTTCTTGCAATAAAGTTGCAAAGTTTCATTTGTCACTTTTTTCTTTCCTTAAGCAAATGTCAGTAGTGGAAGATCACATCCAAAACACCTCGTTTTGCTTTTGCAAAATGAGGATCATTCGCTACAATTTGATCAATGATTTTGGTTATCTTACCAAACTTTTACTTAAGGATATCTGTAAAGAAATTTTTCGGGTTCTTCGTTTTCAGAATCACCATTTTCCAGTTCTACATGGATTCCTTGTTCTGCCAGTTCTCGAAGGTCGTCGTTGAGAAGACTCTCACCAGAAACCTGCGGTAACTGCTCAATATCCTGCTCGTCTTTATCTCCTACTTCTGCGATATAGATTAGGTTAACTTTGGTCAACCTAATGATACAGCAATAGGCTCTTCTCGTTGAGATTTCTTAGATACCTTCAGCCATAACTTCTTCCACACTTCGTCTGTACATTTATCAGTTAATTTTTGCCAAGCGAAGTAGATATTTCCTATGGCATCTGCGATGTTATATTTTTTCCAAAATTACACCAAACAAACATAGATTTAAAGAAAGTACACTGTTTTGCCACCTTTTCTGATTATTTGCAAACACAAACCAATCATATTATATACAAATCAATAAAATGCTGTGATAATTTAAATTGGCATAAACTTTGAGCTTTTATTTTTTTTTAGGCTTTGAGCAGACCGTGTTATATTGAAACAGCATTAAGCAGGGTCTTACTGTACTTTTTCCTCTAGAATGATGCCTTAGTAATAAAAATATAAACAAAAGCACTATCAATACCACAACACATTTATTGCAAGTATACTTTTGACAAATGGAAATGCCCATATTTGATTTGAAGCATTTTACAGTTTACGCTACAATGCTGTATAGAAAAGTGGCAAGTATCACTGTTGATTTTGTGTAGCTTGATCTCTTGGTTAAATCTTAAATAGGTCAAAATACTGAAACAATAAGTCTTTACCAGCATCTTCCAAATATTTTATATTTGAAATGAAATGAAAAATACAAGCATATTTCCACTGCAAAATATCTTAATCTTGTAGTGAAATCAATGGACAAAATGAGAATTTTTTTAACACTACTTTTAGTCCTATCTTTGATAAATAAATATTCTTGACATTTATGTCAAGATTATGTCATGCTTGTTTATGCAAATTTTTGCTGCCATTAATGAACTAAGACCTATTTTTCATTTACTTTCATCTAAAATTGTCAGTTTGATAGGCCTAATTAAAATATTTTAATAAAATCATCACTAGTATTAGAAAATACTTAATCTTTTCTGAATAATTTCATCTTTATTACACTTCAGGTATTGCAGAAGGGCCGGAGGTGACGGCACGAGTCATTGCCAATCCGGGATTCGAGATCAACCTGGAAGAGTCGTACCTGCTGGAGCGTGCAGATTACAATGACAATGTGGAACGTCCCATCAGACTCAATAACAACACTGTGCTGCTCCCGTCCTCAGTCTAATTCATTTTGTTTTCATTAGTTTGACTGTGGACTGACATTCTGAATTTAAGGCATGCTTGGATATTTTTGTAAAAATATTTGACATTTATACAGATCTTATTTCTTGATGCTGATTTTGAACATAAATTTTTGTTTTTATAATATTTAATAAAATAACCATTTTTCAAGTGAAAACATTTTAGTATTTTTTCCTTTGTAAATAATTGGTAATGATTAGATGATCAATTTTCTTACGAATGTAAGTTTAGCACCAAAGCATTCTTCTATTATTTTGTTGCCAATTTACACACACATTTGAATTATTGAGGAGAAATGTTTCATTCTGCTGAATGTTGATACATTTGCATCTAAATGCCTAAAGTATTTCATATGCCAATTTTTTAAATATATTTAAATATTTATTTTTTATTTGTAATATTTTGTAAATAATAATGTAAATATAAATGATGTAATGGCATAAAATTGTAACAATTGATAAAATAATAATACCGGACATGAGCCATATAAATTGTATTTTTAAATTGGATTTAGTGTTTTAGTATATTTTGTGTATATACACACAACATATGCTTATATACATAAAAGTTTAAAAATAAAATCTAATAATGTTTTATGGTTTTATAAGTGCTTAAAATACTTGTTATATACATATTTTTTTTTAAAGTGAGCAAATTGTATGGTATAATATATACAGTATGTATGTACATTGTATCAAATTTGTATAATTGTTATAAAGAAATTTATCCAAAAATGTATTGCTTTATACAAAGAAGAATGTTGTCAAGCAAATCATCATTTGATAAATTTCAAAGTTGGTAACTTATGCAAGTGATAAATTTGCATATTAAATTGTTGCTTATTGTTTTGCAAACTATGCAAGTGTGTTACTGTATTTTTTTGCATATAACCTATAATGGCATATAACCTGCAGAAAATTGCTAAAATGAAAACAAAGCCTTCATATAACCCACCCCAACCATATATCCCACATATGGGACTCCCATGGGAGCAACCAATGCACTGTAGATGAGTTTGTAATTACAACAAAATTGATGTGTAACCTGTAACCCTTCAAAACGTCTTTTTATGCACAAACTATGGATAATCCATGTGTACATATAGTAATACTTAAGAGTTTTCATAAATTTCTTTTGTATATTCCTTTCCTGTTCAGATGTTTATTTGCAGATTGTTTCTTTTGCACTGGCAAAAGAAATTCACTAAAACAAGCCATTTCAAACCCCACCGTGTTGGTGGGGTTTGAAATGGCTTGTTTGAAGTGGTCCACTGGATAAAAGTCACCAAAAGCTGAAGTTGGCACAGGTTCATGCCCAATCATCAGGTAGGCTGCATGGAGTCCTTCACTTTTCCACAGAAATCCTCTGTTTCTCTTGGCAGATTGCTTACGTTGCATTATCTTATTTTGTCAATCCAATTCAACACATCAATAACAAAACTTTTCCTTCAGATAGGCACAAAACTTAAGTAAATTTGTTACCATTAAATTTTTTAATCTATGGATTCTTTCATTGTTGAGATCACTTCCATGGAAAAATTACTTAGAGTGACATATTTTATTCCTTTTGCATCTAATTGAAAAGGTTTTTAGTTCTAATGAACAAAAGAATACTCCACCAAGTATGGATGAAATTAAAAACAACTTTAATAGAGTTGAAATAAATCATACACTTGAATTTATGTGAATTCCATGAAAGCTGTTCTTGATTTTATACCTTCCAACTAACAGCCATTTAGATCTGGACAAATGGGGCATTTGTCTCCCTCTTCAACCAATGGATGCAATACTATATTTCATAATTGATTTGTGAGAAAAGCCAAAAAATTATAAATTTATTGATGTAATTATTTGTCTAAGCTTTGCCTCCTCGGAAATTTTCTGTCAATGCTGTGGTTTAGAGTAATATGCAAATTATATTAGTCTAATTTCGTTAGACATGCTTCACTTTTATTTTTTTTATTCTTTAGTCTAAATGTATTATTTCATTCCCACACATTTATCCAATTGTGAATTTACTAGTATTTTTTTCACCCATAAAATGAAATTGTCAGAAAATAGCAATGTTTCCTTATTTCTATCAACTCTTTTTGATTGCTTCCATTATCACATTCAATCACCTCATGAATTATATAGTATTTTAAATACTTTCTATTACTATTCTAAATGTGATACTATTGTATGCTCATTTTTATTCTATATTTATGACAACTTCATAGTTTTTAAATCAATTCTATGTATTCCCTTTCTAATATTCCAATTTTTTTTCATACTTTTTCCTAAATCGACGAAAATGGTCATAACTGTTTTACCACATTCCTCACTCATTATTGTTGCAAGTGTCAACTCCATCCTTGATATTCTTCTCATAATCTATGCTGTTCTTAATTCAACATTCCTTCTCTCTTGATTTTAATTCTATTCGGTTTTATTTTCTCAAATATTTTACGTCGATTCGTTAAGTTCGCAATCATAATTTTAACATCACTCACCGTCGTTGATGAATTTCTCACACTCTGATGTTTAATTGTATGTGGGAAGACTGACAAAGACATTGTACAATCACTGGATTCTTAAAGGATCTTTTGCCATTTGACTTCCATTCACTATTTTCTTTTATCCTTTGGAAATTATATAATTATTTAGGTTTTTCTACACCTACATTATGCCTAGAAAGTTGGTAGTGAAGTGGGAACCACACTTCTTTTTAAGTTAACTTTTTCAATATAAGAAGAGAAAGTTTCAAAGTAGGCCTATTAATTATAAACTTGGTTATATGAATGAATTTGTTAGAAAAAGTAACAATACTTTTAAGTCAAACTATAAAAGTGAATGGTAATTGGCTGGCTTTAACTTCTGATCTTTAGTTGTGAATATGGTTGTAAGAGGGAATTTTTCTATGCCTATCACGAATTTGGTCAGAAAAGAATAGGGGCGGACAGATGGGATGCCGAGGGACAGAGCCATTCTAAATCTCTTTGGCCATCCCACCATCAAATGAGTTATATGAGTCAAGCACTGCATCATTTTTGTTCCTTCACTCATTGCCAAGTATAGCTTTCAGATGATTTTTCAGCACTTTGTGGAGTTATTTTTTTGTTGAATCAACATGGCTGCACACATGGAGGATATGCATTTTTAGGGTTCCACTGTGTAAAAAATAATACCACACATATATTAAAAAAAATTAAAATGATGACAATGATGATGATGATAAAAATAAAAACGTTTTTAGAGGTTTGCACCAGTCTTCTGCAAAACGAACAAAATTATTTTTAAAAATGCACAGACTATCAGACAGAAAGGTAAAAAAATTTTACATTTACGAATGTCTAAAGTCCATTGATTATTGCCCTTTGCTAAAAATACTCATTTGTGACATTACCACGGCTTCGATTTTACTTCTATCAATCAATGTATTACATAGAGTTTATAAACGTTATACATGTATTAGCCTACAATGGTGATGCATGCTTCAATTAAAGCATTCCTTTAATTTAAAAAACAATGTTAATTTATCAGTTTAGTGTTGCATGGTAAGTTAATATGTAGAATTTAAATTTTCCAAACTACATAAGGAATCAATTTAATAATTAGGCCTATAAATTATTTTGTGTGTGTTCGGGGGAAATTTTGGATCTCAAAAATAGTCTGCACCCCTGCGTTTGAGATGTTACAACTGTGGACCATCCTTCTTTACGTAAACTTTTGTGATACAACCAAAAAAATACTTGACAGGGTATGTTAACCAAAGATTCTTGTTCCATATTTCCACACTTCTACCAGTATAATTATTATGGTGCCGGGTATCCACAAGTGGTTTCACTGCAAAAAAAAAAAAAGTGTTTAAATTGCGTGCCACAAGCAGACAGTTGACCAACAGTAATGTCGTCAGCCGGTATGACATCGTTTTTGTCTTTCTTTTCAATGTTGGAATCCATTGAATTTATAATTTCTTCAAAGTTCTCAGCTGAATAAAAAATTTAAAAACCCCTTAATATGTTACGGAATTTAAATTCTCTTTACCTACTAATTAGGCTATGTAGTTCTGCCGTCGACGTCGACGAAATACCAGACTCTTTCCTTTTTTAAAACCATTAGAGTAACTGTAATTTCAGGTATGTATGTCCAGATTTGGCCACAGTCATGGAATTGTGGCAACTTCCAGTATTTTGTCCTAAAATGATCTGGGATATTTTTTGCAGGAAGAAACAAAGAAAATATTATATAAATAATTAAGTAAATAATTATTTTTTATTGTTACAACTATAATTATTTATAGTTGAAACAATAATTTATCACTCAGTGTTTGTCACAATAATTCAATATAAATAAAATAACCAAACTAACCTTTAAAGGATAATAAAACATATATAAATGTTTTTTTTTTTAACTCTCTGCCCTGGTGGGCACTAAGAGGGCCTCTTTTAACAAGCCCACTGTGAGGTGGCCAGGTGGTGAGGGACGGGATCCGACATATCCAGACGGACCACTACGTGAAAAATTCCTGGGGCTTTTTCGACCCGTCCGAATTCTATTCTGGGTCCCCAGAGCAGTAGGCTGCCACCTCGACTGCTCCGCCATCTGGCCGTCCATTTAAAAATGCTTTGATAAAATATTGTTAAGTTTGATGTATGTTTATACATCAAACTTAACAATATTTTATCAAAGCCTAGCAGGAGCTTCAGCTCCATTAGAAAGTATGTTCTTCATTATGAACAATATTTTTTCACCAGAAACAAGTGCCAGTTGTAAAATGCCAATCAAATATGAAAGTGAATTCTAAAAATTCTTGTAGTAATTTTTGTTACTATATAAAATTTAATAAAATTTTTAAGGAGAGTATTATCTAGTGAAAAATATAATGCAATAGGTTCAAAACAAGAACAGTCATTCTCCCGATTTAAATAATACACCTGATTTTTTCCTCTCTCTCTCTCTCTTTATAGAAAAACACCTGTATTTTAACCTGTGTTTATTATTTTAACCTGTATTTTGACATCTTACATTTTTATAGGAAACTTTGTATTAAAAGAAAGGATAAAATCATATATCTCTATAATACTAAAGTTTATTCTTTTCTAAGGTAATAAGTGCCCTGGATTTTTTCCTCCATTATCACTGATATTTACCCACGATTAGGATAAATGCCAGGGAT